ATGAAGATTTTGATTACGAACAGATATGAAAAAAAAACAACGATTCGGAATAATAAACAATAATTTTAATGAAATAACAAGAAATGAAAGCGACATTCTATAAAACTACACAACTTAAGAGAAACGGAGAGAAGAGCTGCAATGGGTTTAAAAGTATATAAATGTATTATAATTTAGGAATTAGTATTTAAAGTAGTTTTTGTAAATATTTATAAGCTTATTTAATCTGGTGCAAAAAAAGATGTACATAAACTTATAACTGCATCATTAACTCTTTTAAATTAGTTAACAATTAAAAACAATATGGAAGATATAAAACGGCACAAAACTATGATTAATATATTAAAAAGTGTATTATTTTAAATATATTGAATTTATTGTAAATTAACAACTATTTAAAATATCTGTCAGAATTGAACATAATGTAAAATATTTTTTTTTTTGATAAAATTTCAAATATTTCATGATTTGTATTCATAGTAGACAAATATATTTGCATTTCATATACATAAATCATATTTTTGATTATATATTAAATACATCCTACCGATACAAACAGTTGTATTCAAAAATTCTTTAGGTTTTAATATTTAAGATTGTATTATTAAAAAACTTTGTTTAAGTAACTTTGTATTAAGATTTTAATAAAGTTTTAAAAAATATTTAGGAAATGGTTTGGATTTCTTTTAAATTTTTTTCGGCGAATTATTAGCTTTGTTCTGACTTTATACAACTAATTAACAGAGCAAAAATTAAGACACTAAATATTTGAAGTTTTTTTTGTAATTATCATTAAATAGTAAATTTCTTGATAGGAATAAATAGAATTTTGTAATGACAGTCTATTCAAGAGTTAATTTTTATATTACTTTTTTGTTAGAGAGGAACTTAATAAGTAGTTTTTAGAAAAAAAAATAGACAACTCACTATGTTGTTTAGTATAATGGTGTACTAAGCCCAAAAAAAGGCAATCCTCATACTCAAAGGAATTCAATCCTTAAAAATAGAATTAATTTTGATTAACGTATTTTGAGAAATAACAATACAAAAACGACAATTTTAGGCACGGGAAGAAGACATCAACCAGACCCCCCTTGCCTAAGGAGAGTGTTTATTGTATTTATTTTTTTCATTTAGTTTTTTTTGATATAACCATTCATCTCAAATGAAAATACTTAAAGACGATAAGGATATAAGATTAAGCATATTTGTTAAGTTGAAATAGTGATAATTGAATTTTAATATTTTCTTTGGTTTAAATGTTGAAAGGCTAGTCAGAACAAACCATGTCTTTTCGATAATCCTCGTAAAACGTTTTTTTTACATTAATAATGCAATGCAGCAATTCTATTGTATATTACCGTGAAAAGTACTTAAGAAAAGGATTTTATATTTGTTTATTTTTATGAAAAGACAATATTCATACTAAATGTAATCAAATAATCTGATACTCAAACAAGAAGTTAAGTGATATTCTGTAGTAGAACTTAACGAGTTTCCTGAGAATCTCTTAAATATTGGTTGAAGTTATCATTTTGTCCAAATAGTTTATTAATAAAATGTCTTAGTTATTGTTAAATATCAACACATAATATATGTCTTATCCATGTATTCTTTGATATTCATTGTAAATGTTAATATCTACTTTTTCTTATATTTCTTTGTTCTTAATAAACGTTGATAAAAACAACACGTGTCTTTTTGTTGTTCCAACAGTTATTACACTTTCATTAATACATTGTAATTATGTTTAAAAAATGGAGTTTTCACAAGTTCATTCCGATTGGCATTGAGGGTTTGTCACATCTTCCCCTTTTTCAAAAAAATTAAGAACTCCAGATCAATAGCAAGGCAATAGTGTAACTTTTTTTTTTAAATACAATGAGTTTTTATTAATGGATATTTAATCACTTTATTAGATGCATAAGATGCGACAAAATTATTGATATATCCATTCAGAAAACGTCAGTGCCCTCGCGGAATAAAATTCGATGAAAAAATCGTCAGCATTTTATAGTAAAGTTTCATAATTTTAATATATTCATCTAACGATCGATGAATGATTCATATTGTAAAACGTTTGATCTTATACTTAACACAGAATACCTTAGATAACAGTTTTGTTCGACATATGTCACTGAAACCCTAATCCAAAAACTGGACCATTAAATGGTAAAAACAATGGGGAACACAGTTTGCACCCATAATCACGTTCTGCACACATACTTTTGTAAGTTTTAGTGGAGTATATTTAAAAAAAAGTGTCACTTGTTATAAATTTTTTAGTATCTTATATACAGCAGTTAACAAAAATGATCCACAAAAAAATCTAAGTTGCATATAATTT